AGAGTCTTTACAATTTTGCACCATTCTCCTATATTTAGGATTCGACTGCGGACATTCCATCATCAAACTAGATAACTTCATCATTATTTTATAAGGCATACGATGTGATTCACACCTATTATATCAATAAAATAGCATTTAAACACTTGGGTTTCTATTATTTACTTACCAGGCTAGTATGGTAGATATGAGTAATTAGTAAATTGCATCAAGTAAAAAACAAAGAGGTAGATTTTACAGTGAAGTCGATTTTGGCCTTAGCACAGTAATCACATCCTAGTTGAATTTATTGTACGAAGTCATTTCTAAGCATATCCAAGAACAAATTCCTTTCCTTATCTGATTGGATTCATAAGGTTGTAGAATTACCAATGAGAGATGTTTAGACCCCATGTGTCAATTAAACTTGTGGTTATTATAGAAAATAATGTCCTTATGACCTTGAATTACAAGCTGACTTCCAAATCTGTTAACTCACGCGACAGTATGTGATTGTGTCGTAGATTTAAAACAATATTATATATGTACTTTTAGAATAAAAATTCTAAGAATAAAGTGTCTTCTATGTTATTTATACTTCCATATGAATTAAAAGCAACAAATAGTAAGTAGATTACAAGATAATGAATATTCATGCATGAATATCGAGGCATTCGCAATGGAACCGACTTGTCAAAAGAGGTCGAGTAATTCTACCCAGAATAGCAACGGAAAATTACCAGTATTAATAAACAGCATAAGTGATGGTTCTCGTGCCCCAGTGGATAATGTTTCGGCATTTGAGTCTCAGTTGTAACATTACCACTCAATGGGGTGCAACTGAACAGTTTCAAAGAGAACAAAATGTGCGTCCCAGATTTCACCGATAGCCACCAAATAGATTACAATTTAAGAGTAATAAACTTACTCATATAACTGTGTCAGCCCTCCAGTAAACTGGAAACATGTTTCGATTCTGATTAATAAGAACAACTAAAGTGTAACTAGAATTTTGTCAAAAGGAATAAAGAAACAGCAGTGTGTGATACAGACAGCACTTTTCTATTTCACCTACTACTCGCTATCCCAGCGGATGAAGAAACTAACAAAAGCCAAATACGACTACAATTATTTCAAAATCACTGTCAAAAGTCTAAGACAATCGGATATTGAAACGGTGGCGAGCATTTGTAGCTCAGATGGATGGTATTCGTTGTATTGTGTTCTCTGAGCTAGGTTGTTTAATCGTGGAGCTCTCATCATCTTGCTACATAACATCATCAGCACTAACTTCAGTATGAAGTGACTTGTCAATATCTCACCATGAGTGATTTAGTAGCTAGCCATGACGAACTGGTTTGTGATTGGTTGTTTCCTTTGATTGTTGTGTCACTAAGTGCATAGATTTTCCTGTTGACTGTTCCTCTACTTGACCACTGACCTTTCTATCTCTCACCACTTTTCTTATTGGTTGATAAATTGGGTCTATGTCTATACATCTATTGATTGCTGACTGACCTGAATGCTAAACTTCTAGAAATTCTCTGATATTCAGAAGTAGTATTCATCATGGACTGACATCAGTGGTTGCGTCCTTTGGTCTGCATAATGGTGTTTGGAGGGAATTTGTTGGTTTATGAACCACACCAATTTCAACCGGTCTCAGTAATCATGTCGTGATTTCTGATATATTCTTCATGTACGGTAGGCTGATGCATTTGTTGATTTCTGTCGACGGCTTTATGGTTGATGTTGTACGGGATAGGCATATAGCCATAACAACCAAAGGAAACAACCAATCACAAAACAGTTCGTCATGGCTAGCTACTAAATCACTCATGGCGAAATGTTGACAGGTCACTTCATACTGAAGTTAGAGCTGATGATGTCGTGTAGCAAGATGACGAAAGCTTCACGATTAAACAACCTAGCTCAGAGAACACAATACAATCAAGAAAATCGGATATTTAGAAGGATAAACATCAGGCCTATTAATTAAAATGTTACGCAGAAATCTAGTTGGTTACTGAAACCCATGTGACGCATTCTAACAAACGAAATACAATATCTTCCGCATATAAACCACAAGTTATCCATGATATGACAATTATTATGATTGTTTTATTCCCTACTGCTTGTGATCAAAATGGAATAGTGTGTAGAAGGGTTGTTTTCACTGACAAGCAACCATATATTGATCAAGACGAATGACAAGTGCAATCATTGCTCTAATATTTTTTTTTAAAAATAGCCCAATTCTTGATATGTCACGAGTAAACTAACTCTATCGTCACTCTTCTCATATGATACGAGTTAATATCTTTGTATTATATTTTTCATCACGTGAAAATGACCGTCTTCTTCTAGTACAAATAGAAATTTATTCATTTTCTATGGAATTTCAGCTGAAGGGAAAATTCAGCTGACTATTTTTACAAGCTAATATTTAATTCAACAAGAGGAAGATAAAGTATCTATGGTTATATTCAAAAAAAGAACAGTATAATATTGAGCATGAATTATCCTTTGTATCATTTGACGCCTAAGGTGATACAATGGATAAATTAAAGATCCCCACAGATTATTCAGCACAATAATAATTTGAGCGAATAATTGTTTCGAAATAACTTCTTCTTCAGCAACCATCAGATGGTTGCTGGTTCGAATTCCATCGCGGTCCAAATTTTGATTTCATATTTAATCATCACCTAGTATCAATACAAGTTTGCCAAAAAAGGTTAACCCCAGATAGTCAAAATGAAAAGCTACACTGATATATAGGTTTACGACTCAATAAAAATACTGAATAAGTGGTCGAGGATTGGTGGAAAATAATTAAAGATTTTAAGTAAGTCACACATGCTTCATTTGTATAAAATGGAAATAATTTTGAAAGCTTTTCTAGTATCCATTTGATGTCCTGTGTCAGCTAAGTGCGGGGCTTTTTCTATTGTTCTAATTTGTCCCTCGTCATTCAGCAAAGTTTGTATCTAAGCATATGAATGTTACGAAGGTTAAGACAGGAACACCAACAGTTCATAAGAATTAAATTTTCTTGAAGCTAAAATTTAAGAGTGACATTGCCAATAAGATTATCAAACAACCCATAAACAAAGCCTCCCCAAAAGTATTCCAAGCCCCTAAATTATGTCCCATCTTGTACAAGAAATAAAAACAAACTGCCTGATTCTACCACTTCCATGTACATTTATCAATTCAACTGCTTCTGCGCAGCTAGTTGCATTGGGCGTTAAAATAATAAAGAGTTCTATACTTGCACATTTAGCTGACACAGGACATTAAATGAATACTAGGAAAGATTTCAGTGAGAAGTATAGATAGAATGTACAATGAATGCACACAAATGAAGAGTGTGTGTAGATATTCAGAATAAAAATATCGAAATGTATTCAAAAACTTATGAGTATTCATGCGGGCAACGAGTTATACCTATTGTGTATGTGTGTGAGGACTAACGACACTGGTTGCCTAAACGTCGATAGGCGGAGCGTTAGTTGAAAGTTGACTCATTAGTGGCTAGCTTAAAGAAGTGATTCCCGAAGTTCTAATGATCATTAGGATCAACTAAGTTAAACATCAGGACAGTTACTCAACGACGGCATTGGATGGAGTTCGTGCTATATTGCGAATTGAGAGTAGGAAATGTGGATCATTGGATGCCAACCCAGTGGCTTAATTACAACGTTTTGGCTACGAAACCAGGTCTTGTGTTCGCTTTCTGAGGGGGTTTTGGGTGAATACTGACTGCTAATGAGTCCCACATTAGGATGAAGCAGCTGTCGAGTGCCCCCAGGTTTCTCCAACTGGTGAATAATCTGCAATCAATGAATTAATCCCCACAAATCTCAAAATTCAATGTCAAGGGGTTGGAGACAATTGATAGGAAGCTCTGGACTTAGATCTTGCGTTATGTTGATGCTTGTCAGGAAGGTATTTTTGTAGCCTATGAAGAAAAAAAAACCAAATTCGTGTTGTCTAGTCCTAAGAGCTAATCAAAACATATCGATCATCGGGACACAATTTCTACTTCTATCCAAGAAGTAATCAATATACATGTTATCCAATACCATAGGTCAATTGCAGTTCAAGCAGCTGAGCGGTAACATCTTCGAACGTAGGAATGGTTGATTTGAGTTCGACTGTTTATAGGGACATGAGTTCGCTCAAGGTTACAGATACGCCTTTCTGGCAAGTACCAACATGCTTGAAACTTAGATTCAGGGCTACCTGAGGACTGCTTTCAATCAAAATCAATTAAAGTTTACCATGAGCATGTATCTACTAATATGACAAAGATATTACAAAACTATCGATAGAATTCGAGTCATTACTTAAGACAAGACAATAAGAAAGATTTTATCTTTTCAAGTATAATTGCATATCTGAAACTGAAAAATGGCGTTAAAAAGCCCTCAAATACACAATTCATAGTATCAACAGTAGAAATTTTAAATATCACAATCCTTTTTTAAACTGTAACCCAACCGCTAAGTAATCGACAATTATGCCACTGGTTAAAACCCACTTTGCTCAGTAGATTCTAACAGAGCTGTGAACCTTTATAAGACAACAGAAATTTTGACTGGTCACTGGAGGGTAAACAACTTCATGTCGTCTAGTTCTATGTGCTGGCCACATTGCAAAATGACCGACGGAATTCGGTTACCCTCCAATGACGAATCAATGTATCTAATCTAATCCTAAAGGAGGTAGGACGCCGCCAGAGTAGCTCAGTGGTAAGGTCGCTGACTATAACACAGGGTGACGCAGGTTCGAATCTCAGGCCGGACATTGGTTCTTTAAACGTTGTAGATACGCCTTGCTGACGAGTGTTAACAAGCATGAAACCTATGCCCAGAGCTTCCTGTCGATTGCCTCCATCCAACTAACGATAGAAGCTTGTGGTTGACCAATGAACCACAATTTCTCTCCCCTTTGTAATCATGTATTTCTAGCCCACCTGTCACCTGATATATCCAGTCAGAAAAAGAAAGAAAACTGGCACCATTATTCAATATTTATTAAAAAAATAAACCACTAATCCAGCCAGTAGAAAAATATCACTAAACAATAGAAAAAAGGGTATACAAACAAGGCAGATTACAAAAAAAAGGTGTAAACATAAAAAAATATATATATCACAGATAAGAGGAGTTAACCAGAGTATTAGTAGTATATCACAAAAACCAAAATATTTAGAAGAAAAAGTGATAAATATCAAAATCCTGTATTTGAATATACAGATGACTAATGGACTGGTGTAATACCAGTCACCTCACTACCCCCCGCTCACCAAATGAGCATCATTACTATCATGTAATGAATGCAAATGTTATTATCAGAGTTAAAAAGAGAGTTGGTATTCATTTTATTAAATATTCAAAAAGTCTTCTTGACCAACTGTATAGAATTCAACTAAAAGTGAACCTTTCATTCTTTGAAATCTATCTTCTTTTGTATCTTTGCCAAATAATGCCACCTCTTGAACACTTCGGTTAGCTATCTCCATCTCTGTAAAACTATGTCGTCCAAGGAAAACATCAAATCCTATTTTATGCTTATCCATTATCTATTTTAATAATATGAAAGAAAAATAAAATAACCGAAAATTAGGTTTAGAAAATCGTTTCAGATCAAAAGTAACAGTTAGTGGTGAAATAGTTCAATATTCGTAGGATAAGCACTTTTTTTCTACAGTACTCTAATATTGCTATTTTTCGTTTCTATAATGACGCTATTCCTGGATAAACTTTAGTGGGTACCCATCGCCCTGGTGATATCCCCCCCTTCTCGCTTTACAGCTCCTTATAACGACACGATCTCCTGACTAGTAGGACAGAAATTCTTCAAGTTTAAATACTGACCGCTTTAGGTTGTTTTAAGTTAAATACTTTGCTCAGTCGTAACATCTTTCTTCTACCTTAGTCATAAATTAAGCAACTCTAACCAACTTCATTTATATTCCATTAGTTAATTGATGCGAGGCTACTAAAGACTACAAAGGTGTCATTAACAGGCACTTCTGATGATTCCTAAATGCTACAATTTGGTGAAGAAATAAAAAAAAAACTTCACCTAGACTTCATATCAACTAAAATAAAACTGATCTGAAAGGTGAAATTATTAGGCAACTTCTCTACAGTTTATTATTATTTGTCTCTTGGGTTCCTAGTAGAATGTGACGAATACTAGTTTACTTGGCTGTGGCTAGCACAGGAACCTAGGATGTGCGTTTCGTCCTATTCCGGGACTCATGCATCCTTAATTCCTCTCCTAGTCACAACCAAATAATTTATCATAATAACGATTTGGATAATATTAAGGCATCCGCATAAGAGCGCATATGCCAATAAAGGTTGAACAATTCGATCCAGTAAAATAACAGAAACTACAAGCATACCAATAAATAGTAATGATGAATACTAGGCTACAAATCTATCCAATACCCATAAACCTCTGAATTGAATCATTAATTAAACATCATGAGAGAGTATTTATTCCTGTTCAGAATAGAGAGTTCAAAATAGATGTTTAAAAGTAGATTATACTAATTATCATTATAAACACTACAACAACACTTTAGTCATTGACAGAGATCACAAGTCAATTAATTAGTATTTACTGTACTTTAAGTAGGACAGTTAGACAAACCACGACTATTTCACATAGTCAAAATAATAATCAATATGATGCTCTCCTTTTCTAATTCACTTAGATTTGGATGACAAGTCTTGACTGGGCAGCCAGTGTGAATACGATTAAACAATAGTAACACATCACAAATTCACATGGTAGTTGGGGGGTGAAATCCTAGATGATTGAAATGAAATAAAAATTTGGTCAGCTGTCGGACCTCATAGCTCAATTGGTAGAGAATCAGGCTGAAAAGCTAGTGGTCGCTGGTTCGAATCCGGCCACGGTCTAGATTTTCATTTCAAAATCAATCATTACTCAGTATCAATTGTTTAATCATTGAAAAGTAGACACTGTAAACAAAGAATGTGCTTTATACTTTAAGCGTACATAAGTGATGAAATGATTTCAAATTATATTGTTTACCATGTGAATGCTTCCGTTTAAAATAAGTATTAGGGGATATACTCTTAAAGATAAGAAAAATTATATCCAGAACACGAATTCAGTAAGAAATAAAACCTAATTTCATACTGGATTAAGTGTCAAGTTGAATGATTCATTTAATTTTCAATTAAATAACTATGCAATAAAAAAAATGAATTAATACAATACTCTCTTCCCTCCTTGAACTTTTACATGTTTAGAGATTTCAATCAATTACTATGCTTGTTTCTGACATTAAATAATTAAAAAAGAACTTTCCAAACAAGTTACTTGTCAAATTTTATGATATTTCACTATAATTCTCGACATATTTAACATGCATCAATGAAACAATATAGAGAAAATATCACTCAGTACATCAGCTAATATTTTTTTATTTGACGTAACGTCTGGTTTTGTATTTATCCACTAAAAAAACGTATTCTCCATTATGAATATAAATACGAACATTTCTCCATTGATAGGTATTTAACTATAAAGTAATCAACTCAATATGATCTCCAATCAAAATAACCGCTACCTTATCCAATACGTGGAAAATATAATTAGGTTTCTACGAACCGAATTACAACTAGAAGAACATCGGTCTTTTAAATTCAGGTAAGAAAATGTCTCGTCGATTTCATGAAGCTTACTCAAAGAAACAAATGAGATATCCTTCAGAACTATTGCCGTACATATCTAACCGTCTTCATTCATTCGGGAAAATTTAACTTCTCACAAAAAGACAAACAGAAAAGTACCGGCTTAACTTGCCGAAATTCACAGCAGCATGCAAAGAAAGGTGGATAGAAAAAGAGGAACTGAATGGAAAAAGGATTCCCATCACGCTTCATAGACCAAAAACATCAAGTCTGACCTTGCGAACAGAACTTTACCACCGTACCAAAAAAGATACTTTAAAGGTGATTCTGCCGCTGACACTCCAAAAAAGAGGATTTCAAACGATCTGAGGAGGACATTCTTTGCATCAATGCTGAGACTAATATTCTCTTGTCGTCCAACGACTTATAACAACCCAAAGGAGAAACTTTCACACCTGACCACTGCTATGTACATATATCAATTCATCTGCTTTTGTGCACCCAAGTATATAGGTTGTTCGATGCGACCGTTATCGAAAAGGATTCAAGAGCATTATCCCGCATGGTTACAAACAGGCAACAATGGAGCGGTAAGAAATGCTATAACTGAACACATCGTAAACATGAACCATCCTATATTAACAACTTCCTCGTTCAAAGTCATCTATGAAGTGACAAGAAACCTTCCAAAGGCTGTATTTTTTCGTATTCTCTGCAGCGCCGAAGCTCTTCCCATCCATATGGAAAAACCCGAACTATGTACACAAAATAAAATTATTCAACTCCCTCTCTTTCATAGTCTTAGGATTCAGTCTCCTCTACCCCCCATTCCCTTTTTCTTTTCATTTTCCTGTTTTGACACTATTCACTACTTAAGTAATTTGCTACTCATTCATGGTGTTATACTCTACCTGACTACATTTCAGTTTCCAATTATATCATCATGTTACGAAACTTCTTGTCCAAACTTATTTTGAAGAATATTTACCAGTTATCAGCTTTTGGTATTTTGATCTTAATGATAGCTCATTTATTGACACTATTTGTGTTGCCTCCCATGCTTGACAAACCATTTTTAACTATCAAATCCTTACATTAGAAAAATGTGTAGATCTGTGATTGTACAGTCTTGAAAATGAAATCGTTAAAAAGAAACTCTTCGTTGAAATATTTGTTCTTCATTCAAAAAAAGAATACTATCAAAGTTAACAAAAGTGTCCCAGAGAGGAGAGGATAAAAATAATGAAGCTTAAGGAAAATATTCAGATATTCGAACATATAAAAAGAAGAAGTGAATATATTGATGTGATTTCAGCCGATTTCTCATCGTGTCACCAAGAAATGCCAACCACTGATTACTAATGTACATTCTCACCAAAAGAATTGTATATAAATGCGATTGTACACAGTGAATAAAGTCACCGAAAAAAGTTTCTTTGGTGAGCGATTTGTTTTCATTTTTTTAGATGTGTTTATGGGGATTTTTCGAGATTCCTATTGTCTCAAAGACCTCCCCCCCCCAACCAGCCAGTCCACACCTCCCTATATAACTGACACCAAAAATCAGATATCTAATTCATAGATTGGTACCACTTTCGATCCTCTTCTGACCTCATTCTAATTCTTTTAACATCCAACTTCAAGCTGAATAGCGCTTTGGCATTGAGAACACGTATCCAAGCCATAACAGGCACCGAAACTTCATAGCCTCATCGACTGAATAACTTGCCTTCATTGCCTAGCATCCTAAGACTAACCTCAACATTGTCCACATTGCGAGAACAACACGCCTATGCAGTGCCATTTAGAGATGTGTAGTCAATAACCTAGAATCTCATCAATCTTCTACTTTCAACCACCCCATATCACAACCTTATAGTAGGATAGAGAGGACTGTTGTACAGTATACTCGACCCTAAGTAGGTAGTCAGATATCTCAACGGCGTCGGAGATAACATCAGTTCGCATCTGCCGAACATACCTTTTGTATCTGATCGGTTGTTAGTAACCAACCTATTAATATTAGTGTAAATTCTAAAGTAAGTAAAGTGGTCAAGAGTGTCTAACATATACTCCAAATCCTTAAACAAGGAGTTGGCGCCGACCAGTCTCTAAGTATAATTTCACAGTTGACATGTGCAAAATCCATGTCGAAAATAATCAGGTTTCTGCTGAAGGCGTTCAGGAAACTGCGTTTTATTAACATTTACGCCTAGTAGGACAAAGTTGTCTGCGTACTCAAGGTTAACAAGGTACCCAACTGGGAGAAATTTAACCCTTGAAAGCTTAGATATGAATGAAAAATCCACTCATCAACCTTGCGTACATTCGTGTAGTAGGCAATGAGCTACACCTACTATTTGAGGGATAGTGGATACTACCTAGCTGCCCAAACCTTGGTAGGTGGAACGGCGATCGAGCCCGTGAACCATTGGTTGAAAGTCATCTCCCTAAACCAATGAACCACAGCTCCATAAAGCCCAGATGTACTTACGTTTATAGTAGAATTTAACAAGAGTAATAGTGACACTAGGGATCCTTTAAGGAGACCACTGATTATTGTTATTTTACATGATAACTTTCTGTCAGCGATTACACTGGTGAAGAAACTTGATTAGCATATTATAATTTCTCAGTAGTTCTTTCGCAGTAAGACACTGCCACAACACCTCTCGATCGACAGAGTCGAATGGGGCTTTCACGTCAAGAAGTATGACGAGTATCAAGCGGCGATAATGATCTCTGTATTCCAAACATGTCAAATGATAAAGAATTGATCAATTCAACCCTAAATAACAGGCAGACTAGATCATTCCACTCGAGCACATTTAAATTCTATGGTTAACCAGTCAATTATACGAACACTGAACACAATCGGTATACCGATTGCTAAGCAACTAGATAAATAAAAATAAATGAGACTGTAACATATCAAACAATGATATATGAAAGCAAAATCAATAAGTATCGTTTATTATTATTATTATTATTATTAATATTATTAGTCCTTTGGGTTCCTAATGGAACATAGGGCTTCAGTAGCACGTCTCCATTCCACTCTGTTCTCTGAAATCTTTTCAACCTGGCTCTACGACAGCCCACAAGCTCTCATTTCCTCCTCGCACGATCTCCTCCATGTCACCCTCGCCTCGGACGCCCAACTCGTCCTCTCCCATCTGGGTTACACTCGACGCCCTGGCCTGATGCGTGATGTCCGCAGTCGGCCTTCTCAGTGTATGCCCAATCCATCTCCACTTCCTTCCAGTGCATATTTGTTCAGCGATAGCTTCTTGGTCGGTTCGTTCTCAGAGTATCATAAAAAGTTTTAATTATTAGTACAAATAATTACCACCTTACCTCGATTACAATCGGTTTTTCAGGTTTACGACGATAGAATACATAGTATTCATTCCATACAGGATTATTATTACTGTATGCAATGTTGGTCTGTACAGTTTCCCATTCACATTTAATAATACAATAAGGTGATGGAGGATTTTTACCATCAGGCCATAGAAGATTAGTTGCACTATGAACATGCAGTCGAACAGCTTCTTTCGGTTTACCAGAAAAAAAATTCAATAAACCATTATGTGGAATATCCAAAGTGAATTCTCTGTATTAAAATATATAGACAGCAAATATAAAAAAACCATTACTACTAAAAGTATTTTACTGTGGGAAGAAATATCTCTGTTTACTCGAGGAAATGAGAAATGCTATGGTTATCAACTATATCCACATACAATTCAACAGTTGACTACAAAGGAAATATTGATCAATTCAATAACCAAGACCAAAAATAACAGTATGATACATTTCAGTGATAGCTTAAATATTCCGAAATAGTGGAGAATATTTGTAGCTCAGATGAATGGTATTCGTTGTAATGTTTCCTGAGCTGGGTTGTTTAATCGTGGAGCTTTCATCATCTTGTTACACAACATCAGCACTAACTACAGTATGAAGTGACCTGTCAATATCCCTCCGTGAGTGATTTAGTAGCTTCCCTTGACCAACTGGTTTGTGATTAGTTGTTTCCTTTGATTGTTGTGTCACTGATTATATAGATTTTACTCTTGGCTGTTCCTCTGTTTCACCTCTGACCTTTCTATCTCTCACCACTTTTCTTATTGGTTGATAGATTGGGTCTATGTCTATACATCTATTGACTGCTGACTGACCTGAATGCTAAGCTTCTAGGACTTCTCCGATATTTTTTGTGTTTCTTCTCTGCCTCCAGAATTTCTACGACATCTATGTTGTTCAAAAAGACAAGATTGAATAAGATCCTACGCGCTACAATACCAGCAAGGTCAGGGTAGTGTCTTTTTCAGAGTTTTATTTGAGTTTCTGTAACATGATGCATATTTGGAGCTGAACTAGGAAGCGTTCAATCACCATCCGTATTGAAGTCTGTTGTTAGTTGAACTGCATTTACTGCAGAGCAACTCTATGGGATCCCGACTAAGGAGACATCGACTCGAAGATTTAGTTAACGCTGATACTCTGCAGATATCATCGATCAAAGTTTGAGTTGGATTTTGATTTAAACAACGCTGCAGTCGCATCCTGATGTCAACAAATTCTAGCGATTTCACTTCCTATATCAATGTAAGACATATGAACCAATCTTTAGCTAAAGATTCCAGACTAAATAGTTCAGTCACAGTTGACGATGCTGAAGTGCATTAAGAGAGAATCGTTTCCCTTCAGCTTACGTTGAAAGGCGAAGAATAAGCTACAAAGTATTGTTTTAGTGTTTGAACCGTGGTATCAAATATGTTTTTATGTGGGTTCTATGGTAAAATTATGTTACAGTATTAGTCTAATTCGACTGGAAGGAGTTTTAAGTAGAAGACATACCTTTCAAGCATCATTCTGGCCAGTAAAATCATATCTGAAATGTTCATCGCACCGCCTGAACCAGGTATCAGAATTGACATTCGCATATGGATAATACCATCAAACGAAGAAACAACTATACTGGGAGTTACGGTTGACAGATCAGTGGAAGTAAGTCTTGAGCCAAAGAGTAACTCAATAACTTTCATTTGTTGATCAAGAAAGCAATAGGATTTTGTAAAATACATTTTCAAGCATGCTGTCATTAGTGCTGAGATTCGCGAATACGTTCAACTGAAGGGTGGATAATCTGGATACCGAATGAATGATATGATAGTCAACAACTCGCTCGGCTAACGCAAGAAAGAAGACTGTTGGGGTGAAAAGAGTTTACTTCAATTTAGGGAGTGCAACTCTTGTGCTTATATACGGTGTGAGTGTCAATGGGGCAAAACAGATAAGCTCAATTAGACTAACAGAGGTTTTGTTTCCCTTTTGTTTTAAGTTTTAGCTAGTGAAAAACTGTTAGCAAAAGAAGACTATATCTTAAGATTATAGGTGAAGATTTTTGTATTTTCATAGGTAGTAATTAAAAATTACACGCACAGGGTACTTTAATAAAAATGACATATCTCAACCCTAACAACTCTCATTTCATCATCACAAACAACAAAAAGCAGTTGAACAACCGATAACAAACAGAGAATGTTCACGCTACACTATACAAAAAAACACATATAAATAGATTATAGACAAAAAAAAACAAAATAGAACACATTGATACATGGTATCAGTTACAGTTATCACACATAGAAAAGAGATATGCGTAAAATATACACCATCTTTAAGATCTATGTAGGATCATGCATTACTGCATAACGAGTCCAAGTTGCTACATCTCATATCACCACATCAAGTAACAAGGCAGCAAAAGAAGTACAGAGTAGTAAAAGAGAGGAAAGACGAATGAGAAAATGACGAGATTAAGTATAGCGATTAAGATGAAGATAATGTATGTATACATCTCCGCCACTAACATCGATTCTAAGCCATATTACCTAGAACTCAGACTCTAACCATTAATTTCTCTTGGCCGCGAACATTAACTGGCTAGAATGCATCACCTCACATGGCTCAAACGAACAGCAGAAAAAAAACATAACAGTCTGAAGGTAAACCAGAAGTATATAAATAAACACCAGACAAACAAGTACAGAATAAGTGGAACTTAGTGTTTAAAGGGGCGTCGAATATAGTGAATGTATCAGCGTCACTATAACCAACCCAATAATGTTATTTTTTATTATTATTATTATTATTATTATTATTATTATTATTATTATTATTATTATTAGTTGTCTCTTGGATTCCTAGTGGAACATATGGCTTCACTACCACGTCTCCATTGCACTCTGTTCTCTGCAGTTTTTCCAACCTGACTTCACGATTGCCCACAAGCTTTCATTTCTCTCTCAGAACATCTCCATGTCACCCTCTCCTCGAACGCCCAACTCATCATTTCCCCTTTTGGGTTCCACTCGATGACCTAGCCTGACCTGGCGTGTGATGTCCTCAATCGGTCTTCTCAGTGTATGTCCAATCCAATCGATCTCCACTTTCTTCTGCATATTTGTTGGGTGATGGGTTCTTGGTTGGTTCTTTGTCAGACCAGATTTCCTTCCTACTTATTCTTTCTGGTCATCTGGTCTTCAGTATCGAGTCAGCGTAGGTAACTGTTGATGAATGTCAGTAGTTTGTTGGAAATGCCTTTCGTGATGCGCCAAGTTTCTCAACTATATAGAAGCACTGACTTGATTCGCCTAGGTAACTAGTTTACTAGTTACTGGCCGGTCCTACCCCAGATAAAGAGGGAAGGTTTGGCATACGGCTAGCAACCCTACCCCGTAAAACCAATCTAAGCGCTAGAGAAACTTCAAACACAAGGAAAATACAAAAATAATATGTTATCAGGAGACTTAATTTAAGCATCCTAATGAAAGAGAGATTAATTTTCTTGACATAGCCATACATAATCAGAACTAAACAAGTGGACAAAATTAAGTGATAGTTGTAAGATGTATCTGGTGTCAGGATGATAGTTTTATTCCACTATCTAAACGATATACAATGTTTGAAAGTTGAGGCTTAAAGCGACTGACTGACTGACTGATAAACTCAAGGTAAGACCTCCCACACAGATCCATCGACTCAAGTTGTCACACTTCACAGTAGTACACAAAGAGCAAGTGGATAGAAAAAGTGATAACAAAGTAGATAAAGTTGTGTGAGAGAATAAAGAATTTGAAGATAAAGGTTAGTGCATATATTCAAGCTTTAGATGTCATAATGACTGATTTCCAGTGATGTAATCAACCACTGATTCCTTTCGTCCCACGGACCCTAACCAGGTAGTCTACATCTCCCTACACGATCCAAGCCAATAGTCAGTGACTTCATCGACTGGTACCACGTCTTGGTCTGACCATCCTGAACCCTTTTCCATCCTAATCCAACTTCTTCTAGCATGTCACGTGGAGGTACGCTGTGGCTCGGCATGAGGACTATATGTCCAAGCCATCTGAGTTAACTAACGTTCACAACCTGGTTAATCGACTTGGCTGTCTTGCCTAGTACCTTTCGCCTGACCTGAACATTTCTCTTATGGTGATTCCACCAAACAAATGGAGTGCTACCAAGACATTAGTGGTCAAAACCTGGTATCCGCTTCTTATCTTCTACTTTCAACGGCTACGTCTTACATTCGTATAACAGGACCGAAAGAACTGCAGCGCAGTGTACTCGTCCATCAGTATGTAGTTGGATATCTTGCTAACCGGCGCCATAGATGATGCAAGTTGGCAATCGCAAAACAGGCTTTCTATATCACAGCTGAAATTTCGTCACCAACCAACCCATTCAGGTTGATGCAACTTTCCAAGTAGTTGAAGCGGTCGACATAGTTCACCACTCCACTCCCTATCATTAAAATCGGAGTACTTGCAGACCAGTCACCTTTGGACCATCGTCTTTCATTTGAAAGGTACCAGCGAAACCCATGACAAATATACTAAGATTTCGGCTCAATGCGTTAGCATCTTCAACCAGCAGGACAATATCTTCTCCATACTCCAAGTTAACCAGATGACCTCCATGGAGTAGCAAATCCCTGTTAAGTAAGATGTACCCAAGGTTATGTCCACTAATACGTCTGTGAACAAAATAAGGCGACAGTGGACAATCCTGGCGAACATCACTTGTTATCGCCAATTTACATGACATCTCTCCACTGACCCTGACACAGCTGCGTGAGTTCAAGTAGAGAGCTGTGATAAGGCTAAAAACTTGTTCGATACTTCCTTCACAGTTAGACACTGCCATAACATTGGGTCGACAAAGTCAAATGCCACCTTTAGGTCAAGAAATATGGCAAATTTCGGCTGCTAATAGGAAGACCAGATAAGCTGTAATGATTGTGACAAATTCAATAAACAATTAGTACTATTACACTATATGGGAAAAGAGTTTTGTGATAATCAAGATATGTATTAACACGGTTGATTAAAAACTGCTATCACAGGAAAGAATATAGCTAATGCTTACATTTTGAAAACTGAGGTAGCGAGAATACGAAAATATTTATGATATAGTGAACCTCAGAACAACTCAATTTTCAACTAAATCGGAACAGCATAGAATATCAGAACAGAGGACAAATCAAAATGAAACAAAGTTTATACAGCCTAAAATACTTTGAAGCCATTAAAGCAGAAGGATTGTGAGTTCGGTCATAAAAAGATAAAATGAAAACTCAGTGTTTAAAAACCTATCAATCCATATGAATGAGCATTCAATTGTCGAGCGGCCATTCGCCCCTAATATTCCATGTTAACGGAATTACAATAAGACTTGTAGAAGAGGAATGGTTAAACTTAGACGTGGCATTAATGTATAAGGTTTTTGACTGTTGGTTTGAGTTGAGTAGGGAAATATAGCCTTTCTGGTTAGGGGGCTATGTCTAAACTGAAATAGATGATTTGATACTATAGGTGATTCGATGCAAACTGAACTCAATGATCGATTCATAATTTATCGTTATATGAATCGTTGTCATATTTTTATCGTCTTTATTGCCTCTTTTCTTGGGTTTACGAGTTTTTTGATACTCCTGATCGCATTACCTTTGTTCCTTCATTTCCCCCTCTGTCCCGTTCTACTTCGATAGGTTAATTCTAGATGTAACAAATCAAACTGTTATGCAGTAATTCGAAGCCTCTATGATGAGAATTTCTATGTTTATCTAGTATTCAGCTGCTGATATCATCTAGTAATGTAGATTATAAACACTAACAGAAATTAAACAAAACCCAAATCTTTGAAAATGGTCACATATATAAAAATAAACGCATAGAGTGAGTACTCACTTGCTTTCTGAACGCTTTGGTAGATACAATCTTAACAGATAGGCAGCTGTCGACAAAGGTTGTTCCATGAATGGAACTACCAAATAACGACCGATAGCCAAACGGGCACGGATAAGACAAACTCGATACGGTCGAGCTTGTTCTACATGAATAATCTCACAGAAAGCTAACGTGTGCGCTTTCACAGGACGATTTTTTTCAACCTAAAACGAGTATAAAAGATTCGTTAAGTCTTAAGATTACATTACAGAATAGATATTGATATCTAACTAGTGATGAAAAAAATTAACATGGCAAAGTCAGAACAAAGTTACTGAATTAAATGGATTTAAACACCCGACTATTAAAAGAAGAATTCACTTGGTTGTAGCTAGCAGAGGAGTCTAGAACGCGCGTTTCGTCCCATTTGGAACTCGTCAACTGGAAATACCGACACCCCAGTGACTGGTTTTATTCCCACTGGACTCGAACCACATAGCCATCACCTCAAACGCCAAAGTGTTATCCACTAGGACACTGAGGTCGAACAATTCGATCCGGTATAACAACGGAGAATTAAAATATGTTAACAAACAGTATTGAAAGAATAGTTTAAAGTGAGTAACTAATCAATGAAATAAGATGCATACACGATACACACACCTTATCAAATGTTCATGACATTATTTACAAGCAATGAGATAAACCACTGTAATATAAATGATAAATCTAAACATGTAATAACTTCAATAAACTTCAAAAAGTATATCATACAGACAATCAACAAGTTTGCTGATTGTTACAACTTTTGTGTCTACTCTTAACGCACAGACAGATAAAATCACCTTAGAACCTCGCTCAGATGGACATCGATTCATAACAACTAGATACAAAGAAAGAGTAGATAGGTCTAGTAATCAACTCATATATATATATATATATATATATATATATATATATATATATATATATATATATATATATATATATATATATATATATATATATATACCTCCACCTCAACTTTATCGATTTTGAAAACGCCTTCGATAGCGTCGACCGAGAAGTAATTCGACAGCTGCTTCAATACTACGGTTTTAGTAACACAAACCTTTATAAACCTCATTCAACAGCACCTATAAGCTATGTTATATGATGCTACATGCCAAGTGATTCACAATGGAAAGCTCAGATCAGTGATGCATTTGAAGTGAAGACAGGAGTAAAACAAGGTTGCTTACTACCACCGATCATCTTCCTCATTGTTTTCTAGTGGACTAGACCGGATTATGCGACAAACTGTGAGGAGCAAGAAGATGGGCATACGCTAGCTGGACCTATGAAAAGACCGTAGAAGATTTCGAAAACGCCCATGATGATTTATGTCTAATGTCGCACAAACTTGAAGATCCACAGTGGAAAAAAAACAAGTTAATAGAAGAGGCAGTGAAGACGGGACTTTCTTCGGGTGAACGTAGCGAAGACAGAGGTGATGAAGATACCCAGCCACTAAAAACAACAACAAGCACGAATCACCATCAACGGAAGGAACCTAAAGGAAGTAGTCTCTTTCACCTACCTAGGCATCATCGTTTCAACTACAGGTGGCGGCAAAACAGATGAGGACGTCAAGTCCAGGATCGGAGAAGCAAGACAGGTCTTCATTAATCTGAAGCCAGTCTGGAGATCTACTGGACTCAGTATAAAGCGTGAACAAGATGCGGATTTTCAATACCAACGTCAAGTCAGTGTTTCAATATGGTTGAGAAACTTGGCGCATCACGAAAGGCATTTCCAACAAACTACTGACATTCATCAACAGTTACCTACGCTGACTCGATACTGAAGACCAGATGACCAGAAAGAATAAGTAGGAAGGAAATCTGGTCTGACAAAGAACCAACCAAGAACCCATCACCCAACAAATATGCAGAAGAAAGTGGAGATCGATTGGATTGGACATACACTGAGAAGACCGATTGAGGACATCACACGCCAGGTCAGGCTAGGTCATCGAGTGGAACCCAAAAGGGGAAATGATGAGTTGGGCGTTCGAGGAGAGGGTGACATGGAGATGTTCTGAGAGAGAAATGAAAGCTTGTGGGCAATCGTGAAGTCAGGTTGGAAAAACTGCAGAGAACAGAGTGCAATGGAGACGTGGTAGTGAAGCCGTATGTTCCACTAGGAATCCAAGAGACAACTAATAATAATATACACAGAATGTTAACTCACCTTGAACAGGCCTAAACCAACCGAGACTGGACTCAGATCAGGATCTATAACCATAGTTAGTGGATCACGATTATATTTACGTACAAGAGACAGTAGAACTTCATCTGAATCATTTATAATATCGAAATAGTACTGAAAAGAATTGAAGTATATATATATATATATATATATATATATATATATATATATATATATATAAATTAGTGTACAGATTATACATCTAACCAATTTAAACAAGGGAATCTCACTGATTTATTAAAATGTAGTGGTTTATCAAGAAGCTGTGGAACATGTTTACATTCATGTTCATACTTATTATGTACACTACAAGGTCAAAAAAAATGGGACTTAGTAGTAGTAGCAATAACAAACAGGTTCATGGAATGGGCAATGAGCCATAACAATCGTGCATTATTACTTATTTATTCAAAACACATACTTGTTACAATATAAACACCAAGAAATAGATCAGATGAAGTAATATGACAATATTCAAGCAATCGAAGTCGATGTTTTAAGATGAACACACTTAATAAATGGAGATCCCCATCATGCTATCTTATCTAAAAGTTACTTGAACTGTATGTTCAGCAGATGAGAGAAATCTTTAAGCGAAAATGATGACCAGTTGTTGGACATCTCCAGTTCAGAAAGGTCAGGGTTCATAGGTGGAGAATAGAACTGTCCGCACCGACGTTTCACAATAACGCTGATATCACGATGGTGCTAAGCGTGAAGTTCACCAGTTAGGCCACTGAAATCTCATTAGTCACACCTCCAGCATCATTTATATAACTGCCAAGATAAAAAAGCTTTTGGATTACTTCTAACAAATGCAAGTCCAGGCCCCTGCCAGTCTAGTACACGCATTTCGTACAAAGCATATACCTTGCTTACGGATATTATTCGCCTATTGCCTCAGTGCGATTTGAATAGCCTTTATGTTGCAGCACAAAAAAAACCACCCGCATACTGAAGGTCATACGGTTTTTCACCTGGAGTCGGATGCTTATCACTAAAACCCAGCTCCCTCAGAGTTACCTGATGAACGTTTGTAACATTAAAACTTCAGAATATAGTCTTGTCTACCGAGTTGAAGATATCCCCAACACTGAGAAACACAATGATTGCTGACCTAGAATACGTGTGATGGTGTTGAGCATGTGGTGAAAACGAACACCATATCAACGCATCAACGACCTGAACGAAGTCAGGTTTGCCCCCTAACAGGTCAATTTTATCGTCTTTTTATAAGAGTATGAGAAATATCATACCAATATCTTAGATACGCATAACAGCAAACTGATACTCTGATGACAGTTACATACATTACGTACACCATTTGCATAATTAGGTATAACGATTTCATTTCAGTCTTTAAATAACTTAGTCGGTTCTTGACAACAGTCTCACTTTCACCAGTAAAAGGAGCTGCAACTAAGTTCTCAGGGATGGGTACCTTATAGCAATTTATGATTTGGAATTCCTTTCAAATGGCTTCATTAGGTGAGTAGCTATTAATTGACCCACGAGATACTAAAGTCGACGTTACTTCGAAGCATTCCACCAAATGTTCTACGTGTTGTTGAATAGCATACCATCTAACTCACAGACCGCTTCACAAATACCAGGCTTCTTTCTACTGATGACTTGAATACATTGAGACGGCTTTAGATTACTGACATTTCATTTGCGTATTTTGACCACCAAGCTTCATAGTAAAGCATGGCCAGAGTTTAGGTAGGTGCTCAGAAGGAGCGGCAGCACCATGCAATGTGATCAATTTCAGTCCAAGCTCGTCTGGTAGAGAGAGGGAACTAGGTAGAACAATAGCAATGACTGTGCCGGTTGTGGTCTATACACAATCGGAGAAGTAAGTCTCTCATCTGATATGAAACCTGGCAATCCCTACTGACCACCTACACGACTCTGTTTGCGCCTAGATACTTGGTCTGTGCATTCGATTCCCCAGATGACACAATAAGATATCTATTGAAAGCACTAAGTAGAGATCACTCAATTGACAGCAGCACCCATCTATTTCAATTTTTTGTTGGAATTTTGACAACATGAAACATTACTTACTGGATGTTGTTTTGAACAGAATTAATTGCTCACATTTATACTAAAGGTATGGTAATAATGTGAACAATAAATTCTATTCAAAACACCATCCGGTAAGTAATAATGTTTCATTGTGTAAAACATCCAACATAAAACTTGACATGGAACTGTATACTACCACGGAAACCAAGCTCTACTCTCACACTTACGGTGGGATTCATTCTTAACTAGATCCGAGCTGCCAGTAAGAGTATAGAGCCGATTACTTCTTACTCTAGTCGGACCTGCTAGCCTAAAAGAACACGACACAACTCAGAACCAGTCGAGTAAGTACAGCTCCAGCTCTAGTGTAGCATCAATACCATCGAGTCCAGGTGCCTTTACCACACACGGTCCTAAGATAAGTGCATGATAAACACATCTTAGTTTACCGTGCAAATGTTACTCACTCCGACAAAAAAAAGGAAAGATAGACAGCACAATCAGCGTTGAACCTTGTACAGAAGTGGATAGTGAAAGAGTGATATCAAAGTAAATAAACGTATGCAGGGGGGGGGAGAGAGAGAAACATCATGAAGATTAACGGTGAGCGAAAATATTCAAGCCTTAGAAGATATCAAAGAGTGAATACATATGTAGCATTGCGATCGATGCTCATCCATGTCACCAAGAATCATCAACTACTGATTTCTATCATCTCGGGGACCTCAGCCAGACAGTCTACACCTCCCTACACAACTCAAATAGGAGATAAGACAATTAAAATTGGTCAAGTCTCTGGAAAATCAGAAACCAGAAAGAAATTTTCTTTCAGACCCGATTCAGCATGTTCACAACTTTTCCACTATTGAACTAGATAAGATTAGATTGAAGGTTTTATCTTTGGGTCCTAAATTCTGTGACTATGGACACAAAATTAGCCAAATAGATACAGATGTACAGTTTAAAAACTTGTATTCACAAACAACACGACTGCTTCCGTCTTCTGACAGTGAACTAAACAGGTTTAAAACTACACTAGTTGATAGTTGATAACAGTATAAGAATACTAGTTATTTCACAAAAGGTTTACTAACAAAACAACATAGAGAAGCTTTGTCTGAGCTGAGAAAAGACGAAAATCTAATAATAATTAGATCGGAAAAAGGAGGAGCCTGTGTTGTTGAATAGGAGTGAGTACGTTAATAAAATGGCTATTCTTCTTAATGATCAAACAAAGTTCCAAAGACTTGGTGACTCTCTCTAGACTTAAATGGAAAAGCAGAGAAGGGGATAATAAACATCCTCAAGAAACTAAAAGAAAGTGGGACGATTTCTGAGTCCACATACGGCTCACTTAGACCTACAAGGAGTAACACATCACGGTTGCATGGTCTACCTAAAGTACACAAACCTGAACTCCCTCCCCATCCATATCTAACTCTCCATACCACACAAGTTGCTAGTAAGGATTTTAGATCCCCTACACAAAGAATTAGTTAATCACAGTGTAAAAGACATCTTTGAATTTATTTCTAAGCTAGATACTGTGAATGTAAACGGAAAACATATGATGTCTCTTGATATGTCATCACTATTCACCAATGTAACATTACTAGAGACGGTAGAGTTTGTGTCAACAAATAACAGAAAGACAGATCAATATCGGGATTCCAGTATATATCTTCAAGGAGTTGCTTCTTAAATGTACTATGAATGTACATTTTGTCTTCAATAGCCCTCATTATAGACAGATTGATGGGATACCTATGAGTTCACCACTTGGCCCTATTTTAGCTGATATATTTGTTGCCAAACTGGGGAACGGAGCACTGAAAGATGTCATTAATGAGATGAATATTTATCACCCCTATATTGACGACATTCATTATCCTGGATCAAAATGTGGATATAAACGAGGTGTTAACAAAATTTAATGAGGTGCACCTCTCACTCACTTTCACTTGAGGAAGCAAATGTGAGTAAACTCCACTTCTTGAATGCCTTTCGAAGCAGAAGAGATGGTCCATTCAGCAGATATGTTTACAGAAAGACTGCATCTACAAATCAGTAGATACATTTTCTTAGTCATGTACCAATTCGGTACACAGCAAATCTGGTTAAATGTCTCACTAACAGAGCGAGAAGAATATGTTCAGATGATCTAGTACAGAAGGAGTTAGAATATGTTCATAAATCATTGGTCCAAATTGACTACCCTGACAGTTTCATAAAAAGACACATGGACAAAGCCAAGGGAAACAAACCTGGAATTATTGCCGTTGTTCATGAAATTGCAATTTAATGGGGATGTGGCCGGAGAAGTTTTATATCAGAGACTCTCTAGAACTATTAAGAGGACCTTCTACGCGACACAACTCTGTCTATGATTTTCCAGTCGACCAATTGTTGTTGCTCAGACAAAAGATAAGGTATCTAGTTCTGCCATTTCTATGTATATTTACAAGTTTAGCTGCTCCTGTGGAGAAAGCTACACAGGGTTTACTACGTGTTGCTGAGCATCTACCTTCATGGTTGAGAAAGGGACGGATAAAATCCATCAGAAGTTCGGCTTTATCTCACCTCGTTGATAGTGGTCACTCGGTAGATAAGAACAACGCTCTCAAGATTATTGATTATATACCACCTCATCTTACGAAAGTTATTAATTTCATACACTGGTCCAACTTCTTTATTTGACCACCCTGAACCCTCTTCCAATGTAATCCAACATCCCGAGCAATGCACATCGAGTCGGTAGCTCGGCACGCCTGATACATATTCACGTTACCTCAGTCGATAAAAGTTCATCGACTGAATGACTTGCTTACCTTGTCTAGTACCCGTGAACTAACTTCGACACTGCTAACAGTGATTCCACCATGAACGTTGAAAATGTATAAGTTTATTTTTTTTCAACATAAAGTTACTTAAATTGTGTATACTGTTCACAACTAGGCATATCTATTAGTACATTTCCTTTCCCTTTTGAAATCAAATATTCAGGTGAATAATAATCACATCTGTATTAAAATCTATTCTTGATATCATCGAAATTCGCATACCCTGGATTTGATTGCTTCAAAATACCTGACATTTTCTGGAGCTTAGATGCAGTTTCGGACAAGCATAAAGGATAGTGTAGGTGAAAAACTCCAATGATAACTCCAAGCTCCTACTTAGCGCTTCAGATACTTCCTTACCAGACGTTGTAAATAAAAAAACTTTTCTCCATTTATCGCGGATGTGATATAAGTCCTGAGATTAGTTATTAATTTTGAGATTTTAAATGGCACAATAGTTATAAGTACTAAAAATACTACCATATAACAAGAATATTACAAAAGAACAAACTAATATTGAGGGGTGACGGCTGGCAAAAGTAGGTTGAGGTCATTTAAATTGTAGTCTATCTCGTGGCTGGCAATGGAATTCAAGACATGTGTTTTATCTTATTTCACACTCATCAGGTGGACGTGTACCTGCACCCCAGTGAGTGACCTTGTCCCCACTGAGACTTGAACCATATACCAAACGCACGGCAGCTACTACTTGTGCAATGGGTATTAGTTGTTATTTATTGATACTTATAATATCCCGTGGCTATATTGAGTGACGTCGCTTAATTTCTATAGAAAACCAAAGGCTTCTTCTTCTTCTTCAGTATTAGCTATTTCCCCCGTACATCTCAAACAAAAGTGACAACCATGAGTTGCTAAAACCAAGACTACTAGGATCCATATGAAACCGTAGGCAAATTCGACCATTTAGTCTGAAGACAAGTAGGTAAACACTCGTCAACCAATATTTATTTAGCTTTTTTGTGAAGTATGATAACTTTAAGAGAATATATAGATGGATAACATCCCGGTTACCTTAATAAATCGGGTATTCAAATAGCCTACAAATTGAGAGAATTTGTCAATCCAGATTGGATCGTAAACTCCCTATCATTAATAGTTGCAATGAATTCAGTAATTATCAATATCTTCGGTCAAGAGGATAAGTTTCAGATGTGATTTTTGTAAAAATCGAAACAATTAGAAAATAACTTTCTCTTTAAGCAATATAACACTGAAATATATAGAAAAATAATTACTTGATTTCAATTACTCACTTGAGGATTGTTTAGAAATGTATTTCTAAATTGTAAACTTCCACCAGTTTGATGACCATACCAAGCTCCATGATGTTCATATAGACGCCAAGTTGGACGTCCAGTGAGACTGACTAAACTGGTATCTGGAAAACGACATATTAATACACCACTCATATGTTCCAATACAGATTCAAGAGGTATCCAAAATTCAGTTTCTGAATCAAAAGTTAAGCCTAATCTTTTGCGTGCCTCTAAATTTATTTCTTCCCATTCCTAAAAGGTAAACATACAAACAAAAAACAATAAAATATTTTATGCTATATATGTTAGTCTGTTTTGATTTCTACAAGTTTCCAACAATTCTATCCATCTCAGACTATTGTTGACAGCCCGTAGGATTTATATGTTGACTTGTGGTTCACTGATTTAGGGAGTTGACTTCCAACCTATACCTCATGGATTCAAACTCCGTCTCACTAACCGAAGTTTCGGCACCTAAGTAGTAGTATAATTAGCCCTTACACAGAATAGATGCGGCTCACTACCTACTGCACGAATGTGCACAAAGTTGTTGAGTGTATTTTGACTGTTTTCGATTCCTGTTACTTATATTCTTCATTAGTGTTTATAGGTAGTAAATGTGACTTGTTATTGAGGTTTAGTTTTATCCAATAGGATGTAAGTCACATTAGCTGTATATACTGGTGACCTAGTGATGCTAACTACACCACTGAATTTGAATGGATGAGCACAGTTTGAACTTACAATCCAGTCCGTCTATATTCAAACAACCATAACCATCAAGCTATAACTTTATAGTTTGAAGAGGTAATCTCAAAGATTAAAAAATAAAATACTAAATCCTCTTAGCTAACGTATACAATTTCATGCACTACGTATTGAGTCATGCATAATTTGTGGGAGCTAAAGAGGATACCATCAGACAACTCAAATCTCAATAGATGGAGAGGGATTCGAATCTGTGACCTAAGGATTGAAAAATATGAAACAGATAAGAATATGTTGTAACGCTAATTGATGAATATAACATTCCAGTGGGACTAAATAAGAAGATTGTATAATGATAAACATGAATCAATCATAGTAGTATCGAACATAAGCATATTGAAATGTTTTAAGAAAGACACGTTTAGGTGAATATCTGTGAGATAAACCCACAAACTACAACGATATAGAAGTGTCCCAGTTAACCAGGCAAAGTGGATTACCTAACCACTATCCTTTAGTTGAGCATTTAAGATATATAATGAGGAAGCAAAATCGACAATTAGAGGCATACATTATTATTAAGCAGTTATGGACAAAGTTATTCGATAAAGAAAGATGCTTTACCCTTGCGAACAGAAGGGAAGTGCTGGTAACTAAATATATAATTCACTAATTTAAAAGTATGTGTACTAGTCTGTAAGTCATACCTATAGTATAAGGACTGGTGTACTGCCTGAGGATTCTAACCCTTGAGTCACTGCTGATCCCTGATCAGAGGTCCACCCCCTAAATCAATGAGCCAAGGCGACAGATGTTAGTGAATCTGAATGCTTATTTGAAAGATAACAAAAGAAACAAGTAAAATGATTCATTTTATGGAAACATCTAAATTCGAATTTGTCGGAACCCTAAATACCCCTCCCCTATCAGTAACAACAATGAAGGAATCCAAGTTAGTAGATTTATAGGGAATAGAATAATTTGTAAGGCCTTTGGTAATACCAAAAAAACACCCATCGAAGAATCATTGAAAAGTAAGAGATGAAAATGACTGTTTCACTCCAATTTCGTTAGTTATTAAAGCTATAGCCAATTGATTATTAAAACTATTTATCTCTTAAATAATTAGTCGTGGCTCTAATAGCTCAGTGGTAACGTCTCCGACTGCAGTACTGGGTGACACGGGTTCCAACGTCACGCAGAACATTACTCCCCTAGATGTTACAGATATTTCATACAGACGAGTGCTAAAAAGCACGAAACATAAATCTAAAGCCACCTATCAATTACCTTCATCTAGATCCATCATCCAGAAATAAAATGAAATTGAACTTCATCAAGGGCCAATAATGCCAATATATACAGTTAATAACTGAAATCAATGAATGATAAAAGGAATAATCGAACTTACACTGGATGCTGAACTGTAAGATCCTTTCCATTCACCTTGACCACAACCACCATCAATCATAGTCAAAGGACAACGAAAACGCATCAAACGGGCTTGTATAGGACAATCACCTGCACGTCTAAACATATCCTTGAAAGCACCGAAAACGCTAAGATCTTTAGGAACTAAGCAAACTTTTGTCAACAAATAACCATAATTTAAATAAAGTCCAGTTTCTTTGTCAGGTATATGATTATGAAGATTAGGCGCCCCAAAAAGTTGAGAACAAGGTTCAGAATCAGAATTAACACTTTGTTCACTGTCCTATTGGAAAATTAAATAAATAAATAATGAGTGAAGCTTTTAACTAAGCTATGAGCTATCCTGATTCTGGTTGATAGTTGACGATTGTAACAATCTGTATATAAGCAGTTTTTATATGAGGGTAGGAGACTATCGGAAAATCAGAAACATTTTTATTCAGTACTCTAACGATATATTCTATTGAATATAAGTACAGACAGACACAGTTTCCTCAGACTTTAAGTACAACTGGTAAATAAACTTCTATAATGTACTAAACAACTTCCATTCATTTACAATTCTGGTCAACTTGTCTGACTTCTGACTTTACCCAAATGCAACCGGACTTCAGTCAACAAAAAAGCATAATTTCTTAAAAAAACAAAATAATTTTCTTTTTTTTTTTGAGCAATGAATTGTCTGAAAATCTATATGAAAGTTTACTTTGAAAGAGACATCGTCATACACTGCTTTTAACCAGTGGACAACTATCTGAGAGATAAGGTGAAATGTGTATTCGCCTAAATGTTTCTATATGAATTTTCTGAATAGTGGTGTTGCATTCTAAGCTCAAGACAAAAGTGAATAAAAGTGTTATCCAAAATTATTTGTTCAATATGAATCTAATGCACTACTAGCCAACATATTTTATGATATATGTACCAATTTAATTCGTGTAATAGATTCATCCCCTAGGGACATGGTTAAAAAGGATAATAATCGTTACTGGAGATATGAATGTTTTACCTAGCTCCATATTGACGCATCTTACTAATATAAGCATATAGGTAATATTCATTACAGACTGATATCAGTTACCGAACCACTGAAAACCTGAGACCACTGGACAGCTGTTTCGTCCTAATATAGGACTCTTCAGCACTGCGCACCCACAACCCCGCTAGAGATCAAATCTAAGACCATCAATTCTAGCAGCTTTGTGGGTTAAAAAAATTCTACTGATCCAATTAGACAAAATAATTTGATTTTCTAAGTCTCTTATGATGGTTGCGAGGTCAAATACACAAGTTGAAGTAGTCGATTAGGGTCAATTAGGCTTTCCAAGCACAAACTTTTGGCTAGATCAATATTAGTAATCCCAAAATAAGAGGAAGGATCTACAGAAAAGCTCAGCGGTATCTTTGCATGCGATTGCACACAATCAAGCAATAGAGTAAGACAGAGAGACAGTATTGAAAACTAAGATGGGTAAAGAGAGAGAAGGGGAGAGAGATTCTTAACTGAATCTTCGTCCCATGAATCAACACCGAACACATGCAATAGAAGTTATCTGGTACCTGTTCTAGATGGAAAATACAAAAATTTCTACTACCCTTATCACAAAAGAGGAGAGGGAATTAAAATTATGTAAGCCATGTCTTAAAGTTGTTGAGTTATATGAATATGGATGATAAAATAGTGTCCAAGACGTTATCCAGTAATCAACTGTTTAGCTGGTTAACACATCTATGAAACAAACTAAAAAGAGAATTACAGTCTACCAGTGTCCAAGTTTTACTCCTATAACTGAAAAGTTTCTCCATATTCAACTGATGAATGACAACATTAAATTTGTATACGAAGAGCAGTTAACTCGATCATCGTCTCAAAACGACAGTGATTGCTGTCCGAATATAATTTGACATTGTATTCTACCTGGTTTAGAAAGTTAACAGAACAATGAAGATTATGAAGCATCAATGAATCTTTGAAGTCCGATTCCAACTAAGTGAGGCATAGCTGGTCTCAATTACATAAGGCATGGAAGCAGTAAAGACACAGATTGACTGAGATACTTAGATTTGGCATCAAGTAACCTCTAAATGATGACAGCGAAAAAGAAAGAGATGAGAAAGAAGCATAAGTTCATTGAACGAAGTGGTTGGTGAAACCACCGTTGATAAAGTTTGACTGGGTGATATATGGTTATTTAACTACTCTTCGTTTGCCCATAACTGAACCCTAGAGGTAAGAAGATATTGGTATCAGTCCTCTAACTCAGATTCATGCTGAAAAAAACTATGCTGGCTTTTCATTGGGATACAATACCTTCAGGATTCCCTCTGTAGCATGGTGATGTAATAGTACTCAATTAAAAGGAATATTGACTAGACTGTGTGATCCGATATTGTTTCCCTTTATTGATCTTAAAAGTTTCAGATCATAAGAAAGAACATAAACTCTTCAGTGATATTCACAGAGGAGCCAACTTGGTTAGTACAGCTTCTAAACACCAGCATCTGTGGTCATTGGTGGCCTAACCTAGAGTACACTAACTAAATGCCAGCTCCCTGTCATTAAGGTGGTCGGATCACATGTTATTCATCTTCAATCGCCATTTAATCCCATTGTCATGCTAACTGGAGTACGGCTGAAGATAACCATAATAAAATACCATAAGTACATGAAAGTAGTGATTGTTAGTTCTGCGTTAGATAATACTTATGGACTTTAAATATCAGTCACTACAGACCCTAAATACTACTTTTTAATATAGATCAAACAGACAAATTACTATAGAACGTTGTACAAAAGTTTATCTGTTTAAAATATAACATTTCATAATAGCGCACAAAGAGGGATTGAACGAAGATTGAATGATAACGAAGTAAACAAAAAAGCACAATGACCACGAGAATAAATATGCGAATGACATTAATACATTCTGAATTTCAACCAGGATAATAAGAAATGGATATATTGTGATTTATTTGAGTAGTGTCACAAAAAATCTTCTGTGAGTAATTTCGAACATTTCCAAGACACTACAACTAGGTGGCATGTACATTAATATAGGTGTAAAAGTTGGTCATTAAGGTAGAATTCAATTCCCATTAGATTTGTTTATTTTATTTATAACACACAGTGATCTAGTATTATTTACTTGATGATGTTTCGAGCATAAATTATTACTGCTCATAATCATATCTATGTAATCACACCACTCTCGACATTTGGTTTTTATAGTCACGTCACTTTATATGAGTTGTTTTTATTGGTATCAAAATTCTCCATATCTCTGGCATAGGTGTTGCGTCATCTCTGTTACATATGTTGACTGTTGATTCTATGAACAAAGATTCAGTAATCGATCCCTCTCTTCACCTAATTATATTGGACCTAAGTACAATGGCTTTATCCCACCCTATTGTGTGGTTAATGAGTGCATTGCAATAGCCCAGTTTTTCTCTAGATTATTGATCTTATTCGGATCTATTATTCTATGAAGGTATCCTGACCAACAATGGACTGGATGGTTTATATATGGTTCTATATTTAGATAAATTCCTATGTTCGGCTATTCTAACTGACCCCCACCGACCGGATAGTTTAACCTATGTACTTGATCTCACAGTCATTACATGGAATTTGATAGATTAAATTGTTCTGCTTAAATGGTTCTATCGGATGTTTAAGCTGACAAAGTTCATCTCAGAGTGAGTTTGTAGGTTTAAATGCCAACATAACTAATTCCAGCTCTGTTGAGGATCCTACGTAAAGTTTCTGATGTGTCTTTCTTGTAGGGTAACACAATGAAAGCTGCAAGTAGAAAGGAGTTCACAACCTCTATTGTGTTAACATATAAGGAAGGAACATCAGAAACTTTACATAGAATCCTCAACAAAGCTGGAATTAGTTATGTTGGCATTTATACCTACAAACTCACTCTGAGATGAACTTTGTCGGCTTAAACATCCAATTAAGCAAAATAATCTAATCTATCAAATTCCATGTAATGACTGTGAGATCAAGTACATAGGTTAAACTATCCGGTCGGTGGGGTCAGTTAGAATAGTTGAACATAGGAGTTTAGCTAAATATAGAATAACGGACATCAATCAGAGCAATAATCTAGAAAAATACTCAGCTATTGCATTCCATGAGTTAACACACAAACACACAATAGGATGGATGGAATAAAACCACTGTATTCAATTCCAGTATAATTAGATGACGAATGAGAGAGGTTTGTTACTGAATCTCTGTTCACTGAATCAACGCCCAACACGTGTAGTACGAATGACGCAACACATCTACCACCAGAGATATGGAAAACTTTACCACTAATAAAAACAAAGAAGTGACAGGACTACACAAATCAAATGTCGAAAGTAGTATGATTAGATTGATATGATTATGAGCGATAATAATTCATGCTCGAAATGTCGTCATCAGGTAAGTAATACTGTATCACTATGTGTTATAAGTTCAATAAACAAATCTAATATCGAAGAAAGAATCAAACGTGTTGAAAATACATTAATAATTTGTTGTAAACACGTATTTCATAGAGTGAATATCTATGGAAAAAACCAGTAAACAAATTTAGAGTAACACTATAAACTTACTTTTGTACAAAATATTATAATACATTCATCAATTAAATCTTGTTCCATTTGTTCAAAAAACTGAACCTGTTTCATGGGTGCAGCAGAGGGTAGATTATGTAGGCTAATCGACTCGGTTACACCACTAGTTAAATCCATCATAACTTCTTCTAATCGAACATGTTCTAATTTATCATATCCACCTAATAGTCTGTAATTATAATCAAGTAGAATGAGAAAAGAATACAACTTGAGTTATGGTGAGTAAAATGTATACAGAGAGTACAGAAAATTGATTATCAACAATACACCTGTAAAATTAACTTTTACATATAGTACAGGAAATTAGAGACTAGATGCTCGATGATAAAGCTTGAGATAATCTTGTTTCCTTCTTTTACTTGTCAGATTGGTAAATAAGTAAGTCAATGTATTCAGCTCCTCCACGGGAGAAGTTAAGCTTATGAATGCACATTAATCCACCCTAGTGCGTCATTTCCTTCACAAACTGATGAATTAACCGGTGGTATAAGAAGATGATTCAAAGAGTTGTAGTATCACAACACCAACTGTTACCCGTTGCACAAGAGGTGGTTATCATGCACTCTGGCGTTTGGAGCGATGGGTACTGGGTTCGAATCTCAGTGGGAACAACATCACTTACTAGGGTGTAGGTACATTTAACTGATGAGTCCCAAATAGGATAAAATGCGAGTTTTGAATTCCTCCGCTAGTCACCGAGATCAATATAACACCATGAATATCCAGCAGTATCGAGGCATCCGCATAGGAGCCTACCTGCCAATAGCGGAAGTTCAGCAATTCAACCCTGTATAGTAACAGGAAATTACAAGTATAAGTATAATATCATCTTTGAATTCGAGTTTTAATAGGAGGATTTTATTTGGAGGTCGATAAATTTTGCTTAGTAGGTTACTTTCCCGTAAAATGCTGGCCTACAAAATAGGGTGAATAACCATTTCATGAGCAGGTTTTCATCAGAAACAAAAAAAGTATCATTCATCCATCCTTTGTATACATGAGGTCGTTTGATTGTTGGAAGTGAAAAACTGCTTTCTAGCCTATTTATAAAATAGTCAACAAGAGGCAGTTCAAACAGCGTCCCCATTACTACACCATCGGTTCGCCAGTAAATTTCGTTATTAAATTTACAGTAAGTGTTGAACGCAGATCTGAGTTCTTCCAGGTAATGGTGTGGTAAATCAAGATTTTGAGATTCAATGAAGTTGGAAAATTAATTTAAAAAACTTTTTTTAATGTCGATGGTTAAACGACGTCTAGTGAAATCACTCCACTGACGGAAAGATTAATAGCCTTGGTTGACTACTCGACAACCTCAAATATATCACAAAGACCGCTTCAAAAGCAGTTCGTTTACATACTCAAATATTTCTACAAAATGTTTTTTGACTGAGCTATGAAAAGTTTGTCATAGCTAACAGTAGACAAAGACGGTTTGGACACGTGTTATGTATGCATAACCACAGTCTGTCTTGTCACACAATGTTGGCCGAAGTAGGTTCAGACTGGAAAAAGGCCCGAGGTGGCCAAACTCAAACATGGCATCAATGTATGAAGTCTTTGACTGTTGTTTTGAGCCATGTGAAGCGATGCAGACTAGCGGGTTGAGGTCCGTGGAACAAGAAGAACCAGTGGTTGGAGACTCTAGGTGATATGGCTCAGAACCAATGTCAGTGGCGAAGATGTATACACACATTATCCCCGACTTAACGCCATACCGAATCTCACCATTTTCTCACTTTTCCTTTCTCTCTTTTAGTACTTTATATTTCCTTTGACTGAATTTCCTTTTCTTCATCTTCCACATCACTGCCTTTTTACCTGATGTACTGATATGATGTGTGGCAGCTCAGAGCATTATGCAGTAATGCCTGGTCCTATGTTGATGGATGATGATTTATACACTTTTGACAAACCGAGTAAATGTGGAATGATAGTAGCAAGAGCGCTAAGTTGTACTTAAATATCAGTGATCACGGTTGATTTGTTTTTCACTTTTGTCAGTAAATCAGAGGGTTACCGCTCTATCTGTTCAATAGGATCTTTTTAATCCATCGGCCTTGAGAATTTCTATTCACAGGGTAAAATGAGCTAAAACTCCCCCATGTGAGAGGATAAATTTAGTATTGTCATTCACCTTATGCTAATAAAGGTTTTCCACTTGCAATTACAGCGTCTTATCAGAGATTACAGACAATCACCACATCAGCTGCCTTTCAGAGTTGCTCACAACCAATATTCCGCTTAACCTTGTTATGTAGATAATTACTGATGGAGGTGACTCCGTCAGTTTAGGTCCAGTTCCAAAGAGTGACTAACACAGAGAACATTTTATCACCTTACAATAGACAGATGAATTAGTTATGTTACATAATGATGCTGATAATTTCTGTTTAGTCCTAACGTAAATCCAAATATTATTCCCTTAGTCTCTCTTCTTTGATATCTTCTAGCTTTTTATGACATCAAATAATACTGGTTTAATCTCTTTGTTTGTCTTGTTGTAGGTTTGTTTCTTGATCTACTGATTAAGAGTGTGACGACTCAAGTTACTCAGTCTTAATGCCTAATCCTATGTCGTCTTTCCCTTTCACCTACATGTTGGTCAAACATTGAAGGAACAATCTTTATCATAAAAACAGAGCAGAAAGTAGAAATTATCTTTACGAAGATATATCGTGTTTAACCTCATTGTTAATAGATACTAAGATAACACCACCAATGAACAAAAAATTTGAACAATGCAAGAACAAAGACATTTGCAGAATAAAAAAAGCTCATTTTATTTCACGGTCTTTCATTAGCCTACAATTGAAATGAAGTATTATTAGTCCCTTGGGTTCCTAATGGAACATAGGGCTTCAGTAGCACGTCTCCATTTCATCCTGTTCTCTGAGATCTTTTGAACCTGGTTCCACGACAGCCCACAACCTCTCATTTCCTCCTCGCACGATCTCCTCCATGTCACCCTCACCTCAGACACCCAACTCGTCGCTTCCCATGGGGATTCCACTCGAGCAACTGGCCTGACGCGTGATGTCCCCAGTCGGCCTTCTCATTGCATGCCTAATCCATCTCCACTTCCTTCTGCATATTTGTTGCGTGATAGGTTCTTGATTGGTTAGTTCCCAGAGCTCCTTTGAAATGAAGTACTAGTAGTAATAATGACACAACATACTTTAAACATGTAGAAATAAATGAAGATTTGAAATCCAGGAATAACAATAAGGTGGTGTATCAAGGAGTCGGGATTAATAATTACAAATCTTAGTCAAAACCAACTGCTATTTATATCTGATGAGAGAAAATTCTGGAGCTGTAGAGTATGGGGATGGGGACAACAAATGAAAATCAGTGTAAAAGAAGGGACTGTTTAAGAGATAGTAGGTTACGCAATTACAAACTCATTTAAACACTAATTTTACAATGGAATACAAAAATGAGGAGTATCAATCCTTTGGATCTAAGTATAAGACGGAAATGTGATGGTACAGTTGAGAAAACCTATCCACAGGAAACATACGTGGATTGGTCAGTACCTTCACTACAATAGTTTCTGCCCTGTCAGCTATAAGCATGGTTTAGTCAGGACGCTATTCACTAGAATAAAAACGCTGTGCTCAAAAGATACACAGGAAGAAGAGTTCGGCATAATTGAGAAAGTTCTTATAGAGAATGGATATCTGAAGAAATTCATCATGAAGCACAGAAGAGAATTTATTAAGAGACCAAAACACTCAACTGTTGAGAAAAAGCCTGTTTTCCTTCTTCTAGCATTTAAAGGTTATGAGACATCTGAAAGAATGGACAGAAGAATAAAAGCTGCACTGAGAAGGAGCTTCCCTGCTGCCAGATTGATCTCAGTTTACAATACAGTATGCTCAATAACACAGTGGGAAATAGACAAACACCCATGTCACGTCACCTCAAACTATGTATATCAACTCACTTGTGCTTGTGGGAGAAAGTACATAAGACGGACAAAAAGTAGGACGTCTACTCGATTTTATGAGCATATTCCAAGAAATCTGTGTCCGAATTGTGGGCAAGGTTTTTGCCAGCACAATCGCCAGGCAACTAATGGAAACATGACGTCAATGTTTCTCAATCCTTCAGGATATTTAACAAAAACGATTTGCGGAAGCTCTCGCTATCAAACATTTTCAACCTGACTTGTGTACTCAAAAACTGACTGTAATTAATGTTTCTTTACCCTGGTAAGTGTACTTAACTTTTTGTAGGTATACGTACATAGTCCTCCTTTTTTGGATTGCATCATCTCTTCATTCATTATTTACTGACTGTTAATCATTTAACGATTTTTTTAACGATTTTTTTCATGTAATTACGTGACCTACTATCTCTTAAACAGTCCCTTCTTTTACACTGATTTTCATTTGTTGTCCTCATCTCCATATTCCACAGCTCCAGAATTTTCTCTCACCAGATATCAATAGCCATTGATTTTGACTAAGATTGTAGGCTGTTTGCAGTTGATGAAAGGCCGTGAAATAAAATGAACTCTTTTTATTTTACAAATGTCTTCGTTCTTGCATTGTTCCCATTTGTCAAGGGAATTAAATACAAAAAAGATGCCAAGAAAAGTGAGATATCTGTTTTAACGCTTGGAATTCAGTGTTATAAATGAAAAACGTTTTCTTTGGTCCAAAACATGTAATAATGACCATTCTATTTATTGACATACTTGTAATTCTCCGTTGTTTCATTGGAACGAATTCTTCGACCTCTATTGGCATATGTGCTCCTAAGCGGATGTCTCGACTAGCTATCGTGCCCCCATGGCATAGTGGATGACGCTTTAGCGTTTGAAGTGATGGGTACGAGGTTCGAGTCTCAGTGGGAACAACTTCACTCACTGAGGTGCAGGTACATCCGGCTGACGAGTCCCAAGTAGGACGAAATGCGCGTCCTGGATTCTTCTGCTAGCCATAACCAAACGAATTAGCATTGCCATTCTTTCTGACAGTTACCTTAAGTGTACAACTAGTTCTTGAACGGGATAACAATACTAAGTAAGTGATCAATAACAAAACTTTTAAGTCATTCAGTAACTTTGACCAACTTACTTGGCGTAAGCTTTTTCTAATAAGGCTGGCCAGAATTCTGCAGAACTGGAAGATGACAATGATATACACTTGCCGTCATAACAAGGTAATAAATCATCAATTGTTACTTCAAATAACAAGCCTTCTTGCCAAAAGCGAAATCGAAAGATTCCCGGATGCTCATTCACATGATCAACATCCCATTCCTGAGATTTTATATCAACAAGTACCTATGATTATATAATTTTAAAAGATTTTTCAATGAACTTACCTTGGACCAATGCTTTTGACTATACTTTAGACTAGTGAATGCCATAAGAATGTTGAAATTCTTAATGCAACCTCTTTTTAAACTAAAGTATGATACATTTCTACTGAAACAAGGTGTCGATACAATTTCATGAGGTCGTAAAAAGCTTAAAGGACCAGCCGGTTTATCAAGAACTTCAAAATTCATTGCTTCTGGAGGAAATTCATCATCAACAAATTTAACTCCTCTGCTAAGCTGCTCTTTTTTTAGAATGATATAATCTTGATTTTTATATTTAACCAAATTTGTCATAGATGACATTGTTTATTGACTGTATCAAAATTTTAGCAAAACCAAATTCAACACATAGAAGTGACGCTGTTGAGTCTTTTTTTACAGTATCTTTAAGTTGATATCCTAGAATTAAGAAAGAATTAGAAATTAATTTTAATCAAAATAAACTTATTTACTGTGCATTAGACCTTATTCTCTATTTCTTTCTGCATGAAGGTGTTTAGCTTTCTGCTCCCCCCCCCACACCCCCTACTTTATGATAGACACCTCCTTTGACTTGGTGGTTGGATTTGCATATTACAACGACCCACCAACCTATGCTGGCGGAAGTTAAGGCGACCTGTATAAATCTTGAGCTATCCACCAATTATATTCCATCGATTTCTTCCCTCTTTACCTTGTTTCAATCTTTAAAATGTCTTCTGAACGTATCATATACTTTTTAAAATGTTTTTAAACTTGCTCTTCTCAAGCTAAGAATAAAACAAAGGAAAAGTGAATCGCCGGTTGGGAATAGATTTGTAAATGCTAAGAAATACAACACATTAGTATCCCAAGGATACGTTATTGGGATTGTGAATTTCTGTACTAGTTGACTGAACTTCCGCCATCAAAATTACACTCGATTTTGTGTTAATTTCCGAATCGACAACAGATGTCAATGTAACACTAGCTGCCCATTTCACATATAGGCCTTCAATACTGTTATTATTAACACTATGCAGACGTAATAATTATTTCTTGTAAAAATACTGTAAGGGAAGCGAATTACTTGAAATATTCCATGTTGAAAATTCCATCCTGTATCATACACGTCGTTTGGAATAAAGCGATTATTATTATTAATAAAAAATTTTCTTGAGATCCTACTATACAAAGAAGTCTTTCGGATGAAGTTAGGACAAAAGTACTAACTGTTAGTGCGAATTACTGTGTAATGATGGAAATCCAAGGGTAAAGCTATACTCCAAATGCACCCAGCAACCTTGCGCACGTCTGTGCAGTACGCAATAAGCCACACCTATTGTAACGGGTTAATAATACTACTCGGCTGTTCAAACTTAGTTAGGTGGAGCAGTATTCGAAACCACAACCCATCGGTTAGAAACTAGGTGCTTAGACCAATGACAGCTCCAGTCTGCTGTAGAAACAGCGGTATAGGTAGTGACATGCCTCAGAAGTCATCTCAATGGAGCAAATGTACAGACGCAATGTTCCCTTCTTAACTGTCATGTTGAATTCATTACTTTCTTATTTCTCCTTGTTATCACAATTTTCTACTAGTTTGACTCCATTCTTTATTTCTTTATCTTTCATCTTATTGCTTTCTCGCTTGATATTCTGATAGATGTCTCAACTTAGACTGTTATACAGTAATGCCTGGTCCAATGTTGATGTCGACTGATTGATTGTTATAGGCAGTTGGTAACCTACATCCAAGAGTTAGCAAAAGCTAGTGGATTTTTACAACCCCATCTAAACTGACTGATATGAGAATGCCTATTCCAGCTAGCTGTGACTACAGTAAGGAGCCAAAGCAGCTCAAAAATGAATTGACTAAGAGCGTAGTAAGTGAAGAACGCGAAGGAGATGGAGGATGAGTCAGCATTTGGTAATCTTTGGTAATTATCTAGGCTTACGAAAGGCAGTGGTAAGATTACGGTTAGTAAGATGGGTCTCTGGCAACTTCACAGGAGAGCCGGCTGGGTTGTTGGGCAAAACACATTGAGGTACAACTTAACTGACTTACAGACATGCTTTAATTGCTCAGCATGCAACAACCATAACCTCAATGGGATGTAGATTTCAGTCCTCCAACTCTCCTCGAGGTTGAGAAGGCTGTTACAACATTGAAATTATGCAAAGTAACCACCAGAATCTTTCAAAGATAAGAAATTGCCTAGTCAAGTACAAAAGATACTAGTTACTGTATGTGAATCAGAAACAGTAACTCCAAAGTCATTTAGATAGTCAGTGATTTCACTTTAAGGAGGAACATTTTCGTCTGGCAGCCACGGAAGGATCAGTTTGAAAAATATTTCACTGCAAAATGACAACTCTTTCTGGTGAAGCATTTCAAGCATTTTAGCAACGCTATGACGAGAAAATGTAAGCAACAACACAGTGAATTATTGACACTCAGTCAAAATCTACATTCATAAGTCCTCAGATTTTGAAAAAGACTCTACGTAAATACGTTAGTGATGGACAAGGTGAAGATGAAACTGAGTTTAAGAAGTCTGATAATATGGACGATGTTATATTGATGGGTAGGAATGATAGTAACCCTTTGTTACCCATCAGGAGATAACAAATGAAAAAGGCATACGATCAGATCATGTTAGTGAAAACGATGAAGTGCTTGCAGAAAGCATGCAAAATGACATGTTTGGTGCCATTCAATCATTCTAAAAATATACCTCATAAAAAATCCTCAAGAAACATTCTCAAGAAGTACTACTGCAAGCCCAAACATCAACGTCAACAATTACTCAGATACTAAAGGGAGTTTAAAGCCCCTGCACACAGTTCAAATGAGCTAATTGATTTGCATGATAGCGGACTACTATTTCAAAGTGAAATTTTTTCATGAAGGTTGGAAACTTTGTCTAACCATTTCAATATTGAAAATCCCATGATCATATGTAAATGCACACACCTAGTTAACACGACTTTTGAGCATTTTTGCAAAATCGTTTCCGAACAACATAGGAATTCGGTAGGTAAAGCTATAGGAAACATTTTTACAAATACATGTTAGTCTATTTTTCGAAGCGAGGAACAGAAGGTTCATCAAACACTCTCCTTCCAAGTGTAAGCAAACTGTCCCACTCATCACCAGATTTTATGGATTCAACCTAGTTACTTAAAAAAACGTCAAAATACAGATTCAGCTGATCATTAACGAATGATTTGTCACGATCCAGGAAAACGTTACCAGTCAACCATAAGACACTGACTGATTGACAAAATCAACGTAAAACCTTGCACATAGGTGCATTCGCTCAAGTTGCCTTACTTCATAGTAGTTTATAAACAACAGGTGGATAGAAAAGGAGTGATGTCATAAAAGATAAAATTGTGGGAAAAAATAAATAATTTGAAAACAAAGGTTAGCGTAAATATTCAAGATTCAGATGTCAAGGAGTTAATACATCTGCATTAATGTGAGCGATTTCCAGGCATGTTTTCAAGAATCCTCAACCACTGCTTCTTGTCGTCTCGAGAACACAGACCAGATAGTCTACATTTCCTCACATTGCTCAGACCAACAATCACGGACTTCATCGAGTGACGCCACGTCTGCTTACTCTGAACCCTCTTTCAAACTAATCCAGATTTCCCTAGTATAGTACCTTGAGGTAGGTGGTGGCTCGGTATGCGCAATACATGTCAAAGCCATCTTAGTCGAATACGGTTTACAACCTCATCAATCGACTTGCCTGTCTAAAATAGTCATCATCATCATCATTATCAACATAGGACCAGGCATTACTGCGTAACGGTCCGAGTTGCCACACGATCCGAGTGCCTTTCTACTGACCTCAACACTGCTCACATGGTAATTCCACTAAACACGAGCAAGCCTACGAAGACACCTACCATCAAAAGCTTGTAGCCGCTTCATCTCTTCTACTTTCAACGACCGTCTCACAGTCGTACAACAGAACAAAATGAACAGCAGTGCATTATACTTATCATTTGATAGTTAGTCAGATATCTCGTCAGTTGCAACCACATAGGAAGCAACTACACGAATGACAAACAAGCCTTCTATATCAGAGCTGAAATTTCGTCACCAACCAACCCATCCGGGTTGATGCAACTTTCCAAGTAGTTGAAGCGGTCGGCATAGTTCACCACTCCACTCCCTATCATTAAAATCGGAGTACTTGCAGACCAGTCACGTTTGGACCGTCATCTTTAGTTTGAAAGGTGCCAGCGAAACCCATGACAAACATACTCAGATTTCGGCTCAATGCGTTCACAAAACCCTGCATTGCGTTAGCGTCTTCAACCAGCAGGACAATATCTTCTCCATACTCCAAGTTAACCAGATGACCTCCATGGAGTAGCAAATCCCTGTGAAGTAAGATGTACCCAAGGTTATGTCCACTAATACGTCTATGAACAAGATAAATCGGAAAGGTGACAGTGAACGTCCCTGACGAACATCACTTGTCATCGCCAACTTACATGACAACTCTCCACTGACCCTGACACAGCTGTATGAGTTCGAGTAGAGAACTGTGATTGGCACTATACACTTGCTCAGCACTCCCTTCACAGTCGAACACTGCCACAACACCTCACGGTCGGTCGACTGAATCAAATGACGCCTCCAGATCAAGAAATATGTCAAGTGTCGGTAGCTGGTCCGTAGGTATGCCTGTGTTTCAGAACCTGAGGTGAGGTAAAAATACAATCGATGAAGTCTCCTCCAACTCTGTCTGAGACCTGCATGCTTTTCTACAGCTCCAGTTAAGCGTTAGATAACTACGAACCCTCGGATCTTAGACACGGTATTAGTCAAACTAATTCTCTGACAGTTGTCACAAGAAGATTTTTATCTCTCTTCTTACAAACTGGGATGATCAGAGAAGTACACCAGTGTGACAGCAATACCTGTAATCCCCATACACCACTTAGTGCCTCCATCAATATAATCGATAATTTCTCAACTACATCCTTGGAAACATTGGGTGACAAACTGTCAGATCCTGCTTCTTCGCAACGTTTCAGGTTCGACACATCATTCTCAACTTCAAGAGAAGTCGTAGGACCGACGTCCACATGCTATTCACCTTTAGGCTGGATGTTGGGCAACTGGAGTGTTGCTGTAGGCCAGTTGAACTACGCTTCAAAGTGTTCTATCCGCCTGTCCTGTGAGATTATCAGCGTCCGATTCTTTACAGTGGTGGTTTCAATAAGCATCGTCTTCTTGCCGGTATCCTTAATAAACCTAAATAGTTACTGAGTGTCACTCAACGCTGTTGCCTTCCCCATTTCTCTCTCGCTTTCACCACCCACTACTGCTCGCGATCAACGTGAAGACTCTAGATCACCTTACGTTTGTTGTTCCTGCTATTCATCGTGGGGGAGATGGGGTCAGTCTTCTCGTACTAATCACTTCGGATGACGTCTCGGAAATCCAACCTTCGGGTGTAGGTTATCAATTGTCTTTACCTATGTTTCTACGGCAGACTTAACATCACAACAGGTTTTCCAGATACCTCAAGAAGGCCTAGCTTTCCACGGTGTGGGTAGCTGGGAAGTGTCAACTACCCTCACAACTCTGTCAGAGCTCAAGTTCCTACAGACCACTATCCACCTCCCTCACCATTACCTTCTAATCTTCCTTCAAGTCTCTCAGTTAACAACCCTACATCACCTTTGATTTCTACTAGCTCTGCAGCTTTAGACAACGACCTGGGTCCACAGAACAGCATCATTGATCTCTCCAAACTACACA